GCATCAACAGGGCTGTTAAGTTTGGAACCCAAATGCAGAGGCTATACTCAAAATATTATCTTGGAAAGCTCAGGAATCATTACACGGAATATTTCAAAACAAATTTCAGATATTAATATTGCACTTGACGATTGCTGCTATGCCAAAGAAGCCAGATTCAACAACACACCAATCACACTACAACCAATAAGACTTTCCAATATCAAATTGGACGATTTACAGGTGCGAATCACAAACTTGGACAACTGGACCAATTGCTGGATGAAGAATTGAAGAAGCCATTTATTATTCAACACTCTCATTGGTTCATTATCATTATTTCTTTTATCGCGTCAGTTGTTCTTTTGGTAATAGTGTAAAATTTTCTTAAGTGGTGCGGATTAATATCATGCATTAAAAGTATGTTTTGTTGTACTAAAAGCCCAAAGCACATATCGGATTCCTGCTGTATTAAGCTTTTCAATACAAATATAAATACCACTCCAGGGACAAGTCAAACATATCAAGAATTCTAGAAGAAGAAGCCAGAACAAAAATGGGCGAAGGGATTGAACTAAAAAACCTTCTAAGTTCCAATGAAGCAACCACATCCACTACGAATTCCATGTCCATGCGAAGATCAGTCACCCCAAGACCGTCCATAAAAATGTCTTAGTAAAAGATATGTTTGTATATTCTTAGGTATAAGTTAGTTTACATTTTTTTTTTTCTCTTTCCTTTTTATTCCTACCTTTATATTAAGTTAAGCATCATATTATTTAACGTTAGTTTTTTATTTCTTAAAGGATTTGTTTTGAAGAAATTTCTTTATGAAAATTTCTTTTTTTTTCAAGGGGGGAAGTGTCATATTCCTCCATAATATCATGACATTGTACCTTTTACGACCCTCGAATACTTTCCCAAATAATGTCTCGCCGTCGCCGAAAGCAATATTATTATATGACCCAGACTTTCTGTTAAAGAACCAAAAGATATTGTATGTAAATAAATTAAACATTTGTCCACCATAAACCCCAAAATTCCCAAATATCCTTAATGGTCATTCTTTGGGCGAACAGACTGTCATTTATTGCCAATATTTATTTAGGGTTTTCCAGTTGTAATTATGTAGGTTTTAGAAACGTTTTAGAAGGGATGTAAAGGTCGATTTGTAAGAGATCTAGTGAAGCAAGAAGACAGTCTTAAGACAGCTTCAGTCGTAGTAACACATTTTGTTAAAACTCTCTCTAAAATAAGTCTTACTTTTGCTGTAGTTCAAGTTCATTCTATATTCCATTACCTAATAAAGCTACAAGTTTCAAACCAAAAACAAAAGTAGTTCTAACCAAGGCAAAACACTGAAGGATCACAACAATGGGAATGTTCTTTTTTTAAGAGTAGTGTGCCTAGCACATTCGCCAAAACCATTACGAATGTCCTGAAAATGTTCTGAGAAAAGATTGTAGAAATACTGTTTGCAATACCCAAGAACTTCCTGGGAAATCCATTAGGATATTCCTAGAATATACCTATGAGATTCTCAGTACATCTTGAAAAGAATATTCCTGTTTGATTCTAAAAATATGCTTGAAATGTATATTCTCACATTCAAAGAATGTTTCTATGACATTATAGTTATGTTTTCAGAAGAATATTATATCAATATGCTTGAAATATCCAATATCCATATATCATTCTCAATATGCATCCTAGACATAACATTCTTGTTTGATTCTAGGGATATACTTGGAATGTTAATTTTCGCAAATAATGCTTAATTTGATTGTTCAATTAAGAATTTCTAGTAGGTACTTTAAATAATTAGGTGAACAATATGGAAATATTCTTATCATGGTTACCTACCTACATAAACTTCTCAGCACAACTTGGTAGGTATATTCTTAATACTTGATAGAGATATTAGCCGAAAGAACATTTTTAGGGTTCATTATAAAAATGTTCTTATGACAATATTCAAATAATGTTACATAAAGTAGGTTCTTAGCACAATCTTTCAGGTAGGTGCATAGAAGCAACATTCCTAGTACATAAATAGAACGTCGAAAAATTAATATTTCAATCGAAGCAATCTTAAAATATTCATTAAACATTCCTAAAAGAACATTCCAAAAAGCACTTTGAGGGAATATTCTGAGAATATGAATGTTCTTTCACTGTTATGCAGATGCAGTGCTATTGTATTCTGGCAAAAGTGTTGGGGAGTTGGAGAATGAAGTAAATAATGATTTAACGTTATATGCTTAATGGCTGTTATGTAATAGGCTTAAAATAAATATAGATAAAACTAAATATATGTTCTTCAAACAGCAAAATAAAAAGGTTGAATTACCAAACATAAAAATAGGAAACATAGAGTTACAAAAAGTAGATTGTATTAAATATTTAGGTTTAATGCTAGACGCAAATCTGAATTGGTCTGAACATACAAATTAAATAACTAAAAAAATTACTTCAATGATCGGCGCTCTCTATATAAATATAGAAATTACTTGACAAATAATGTGAAACATATGATATATTATGCATACCTACTTCGCAACACACTTTAGATATCTTCTCCTGGTTTGGGGTACATGTGGTAAAGTTACCTTCAAAAACATGCAAACACTTCAAAACAAAATCTTGAAAATTCTATTTAAGCTTGAATGGCGAACACACACATGTGACCTATTCTGAGGGTTGAGTATACAGGGCGTTCATTTTAAAACTTACCACCCCTGTTATCTCGGAGGAGAAAAATTTTCGAAAAAATTCCTGAAATACGTCAACTATAGTTTGAGGGGGGATGCGTTTTTCAACCCGCCAGCCCCCAGATCCACCCCCTAGAAAATCGTAAATGAGAAGGGGGGTCAAGTGATACATCATTTTATATGGTTTTCAATTCCATACATTTTGGAACTAAATTTTATTCCCTAAATTCATTCAACTGTTTTGGAAATATTGACAGTTATACATCATTTTGGAGGGTTTTTAATTCCATACATTTTGGTACTAAATTTCAATCCCTAAGTTAAAATGTTTTGGAAATATTGACATTTGAAAATCGACTTTTTTGCTACTTTGACAGGTTGTAAAACCTAAACGGTTAATTTTCGAGAAAAAACGATTTTACCTTCTTTTCTTAGATTTTCATAAACTATCATTTGACATCAAATTTGAATTTAATCGCAAATTAAATTTTCAACTGGAATTATTGAACATGGATTAAATTCAAAGTAGTTGTCAAATGATAGTTTATAAAAATCTAAGACAAGAATGTAAGATCGGTTCTCCTCTAAAATTAACCGTTGAGGTTTTACTGCCTGTCAAAGTTGCAAGGCGGGAGGTGAATTTTGCATAAAAATTCATCGCCCCTCAAATTATAGTTGACTTTTTTCAGGGATTTTTTCGAAAAATTTTCTCCTCTGAGATAATAGGGGTGGTAAGTTTTAAAATAAACACCCTGTATATCAGATGAACCAGTTGTTAGAACTAGAACAATGCAAGTATATTTATAAGGAAGTTAATTGTACTCAAAAGTACACACTAATTTTATTTGCAAATAATGTACACGAGCACAGCACAAGAACTCAGAACAATATATCGCCATAATGTTAACACTAATCGGGGCTTAAATAATCCCATATCAACGGCCTCTGTTAGCTTTAACAGTTTGCCAGACTTAAGCAAAGAAAATGAGAAAAATCAAAAAAAAAATTATTGGTCAAGCAAGCACAAAAGTACATTCTTGAAAACAGTTCTTGTTAGAATTCCCTAGATTCAACTGTTTTTATAAAAACAGCATAGTCGCGAAATATCTATTTTTTCAGCATCGAGAAGCGCACTCTTAAAGAAGTCTAGTTTCAGAACATTTGCACAAAGTTTAAAACATCACATTACCACAAAATATGCAGATTGTTGTTGTTTGGGGGGGCTGAATTTGTTCTGGTGGGTTCCTATATTGTGTACAGCTGTACTAGTTAGTGTCCTTGATACCAGTATTATAAACACTGTTTAAAGGATTACAACTATAGTTATTTATTGTATAAGTGTTTTAGGATGCATTTTATCCACGCAAGAATGTTTAAACGCGAGAACGAAGTTCGGGCGTTTAATTTTCCTAAGTGGATAAAATGCAACTAAAACACGAATGTAATACAACGTTTCATCCACAATCAAAAGTACAGTCGTGAGCATGAAAAATGGGACTCCCGACTGACAGGTCTTTTCATTTTTCGCTATTTTGGGTAAATCAGTCTTTTCTCTACAACGGATTTTTTTGTCAAATATGACAATCCCTGTCATTGCCGTAGGGTAAAACTGGAATGCACACACATTGCCATATCTGCCAAAAAAATGAAGCCATGAAAGACAGATGCCACAAGGGGGAATGTTATTTTTTTCTGTTGCTCGCTGACATATGACGTTTTCGAAAGTTTTGTCATATTTCCCTTCACAGGTTTCATCAATTGGAGTACGTGTTGGAAGCAATTTTAGCCATTTAACATAATGAGTGCGACAAAAACAGGTATCCCCTCCGCAGCAGCCGCACTAGGCCTCACGTTCGCCATATGTGTTCGCATTCCAGTTTTTCGTTATAGTTCATTGGGTATAGCTGATGAGCCCGTTTTACAATAGGAAAAAAGGGGTGTCCCACTTTTTATGCTCACGACTGTACATACCAATTTTGATTTTGATATAAAAATAAGTAATAACTTTGGCAATTTTGATGTTTAGTTCAAAAAGATTTGGTTCTAGACAAAATCACCCTACGTCACTACAAACAACGGGTGAGCACCTAAAAAAAAACGATTAATTTTACTTTGAAAATATCGCTTTCATTATCTAAAACTTATTTTTCCTGCATTTAATACGCAATCGGGAAGTAGGCACTTCAAATATAGTTCATCATTACCTACGTGATAATTCAATAATAGTTTTAGGACAACAAAATACTTCAAAAAGTGTACCGTCCAAAACCACTTCAAACCCGTTATAAAAGCCGTAGCAAACCGCCTCAGTCCAAGTCAAATCAATGATGTCGTTCCAAGTAGCAACTCTTGTAGCTTTGCTAGCGATCGGGGCTTTTGCCAGGCCCCAGCAGCAAACCTTCTCCCACGAGGGTATCGGCTACGCCGTCCTGAACCACACGGTACAACCGGTACCCGACGGTTGTACCATCAACAGCGTAATAGACGTCGCCTCGGTTGTAGCCGCTTGCACCACAATCAACGTCGGCTCTTTCGTCGTACCAGCCGCCAATCAACCGCTAATCATGAATCTCAAACAAGGTACCACTTTGACGTTTACCGGCCAAATTAATTTTGCCAAACACGCGTTCAAGGGGTACCTGATGGAAATTATGGGTGCTAAAATCAATGTTGTTGGATCAAACAGTAAGTAAAGTTCATTTCACGAACGTTTGTACTTATGATATCGATGATGTCATCACTTGGAAAAGAAGGTTTGTCGTAGATTAATGGACCTATCTCATTTTACCTGTGCTGCGTGCACCGCCTGTGGGTGACAGATAATCAAATTATCAATTGAATGAACGCGGTCGTCTGACCCTGACGTTTTTTAAGCTAACTTCAATAACCAATCAATATTGCTGCAGCAAACGTTCAAATTCTGTTTTTTGTACTATTTCTCAAAAAACAATATTTTCTCTAAATAATTGTATTTATTTTAAACATTTTTTAATGGTGGCCTTATTAGGAGCATAGTGAACCAAATAAGGCCAATAGTAAGCGTCTTTGTTTTACGTAAAAACCACCACTTATATAGACAAATAAATAAATTGGTGTTGATATTCAAGATAGAAACGAAACACTTCACAAAGCTCGTGATTTCTGTTGGGTTTAGTGGATAATGTAAGGAAAAATATAACGTGGCCTTATTTGGGACCGGTAGGTACCTTACAGGGGGTTCCATTAAAAAAAAAAAACGAAGTTGTCTAAATTTTATTTTTTCCCAAGATAGATTTTGACATTGTCAACTTTGAAATATAAACAATGCGCTTATTAGTCGCAAGATGCCATTTGCACGACATAATTGTAAAACTGATTCCAACCTGCAGAGATACCTCGTTTTGCGACCAAGGGCCAAGCGGTATGTCAAAATCCATCTTGGGAAAAAATACACCATACGTTTCTCCAGTTTCCAATGCGATTTTGTTTTTTCTGATAACGTTAAAAGAAAATATGGAGAAAAACTGTCAAGTTTTGTATTTGAAATTGTTTTCTATCTTAATAATAGTAAATGCTGTAGGTATGGGCTTAAATATAATCAAATACCCTATACCCTGTACATGAAATTGATCCAGCACAGGAAAATTTTGCCCGCGGTAGCCTTGGACACATCAAATAGATCTCCCAATGTTTCATAGTCTTTAATCAATTTAATCCATGATTAAAAATTCCAGCTAAAGGACACCGCACTTGGACCATTGAAAATAGGTTTCGGTCAAAATGTCTGAATTTTTTATATGTTGTAGTTCTATGTATGTAGATCGAATTTTGGCAAAAAAAATTGGGGGGGGGTCCTCGAGCCGTTTCGGATCTAGGGCCGTCCATAGGCGTGCGAATAAGAGTCCGATTGCAAGCGTCGCTTTGAAAAGTTTACTTTAAAACACAAAAATAAAACATTCTAAGGCATAATTATTAGACATAATTGTTTAGAATATACTTACATGTAACCGTTAGACTGAAACTGTTACGAATGTACAGGGTGGACACTTTTTATTGGTACCTTTATTTGATTAGGGGAGAGTGGGACAGCTTCGACCTGTTAAGGTTGGCAAGATTTTAAAAACGATTTATATTTACAGAAATAAACACAACTTTATCAAAACATAGTGATAACATTTCTTTAGTAGGTAATAGGCATTTAAAACCAATATCGTATAAATTCAAAGAGATTTTTTTTTTTTTTTGCCTCAGTGTCAAATGACGAACTTGCCCTCCCCTAGGGGGCAAATTCGACAGAATTATTCTGATACAAATACCTAAATTTCATTTTCTACCTAAATCACAGCAAAAATTAACTGCTCTTCTTCGTATGCATCAGATCGTTTTTTTTAGAATCTCTAACCATATTGACATCCTAGAAACAAAAATAATAGTTCGACAGTGCCGAAATAACGATTGGCAAAGTTGCCCCACCCAAGCGAATTCTAGTCAAATATATAAAAACATCTTACAGGAGCCTTTTTTACCACCTATTATCAAACATTTCTGCAAAAGATGGGTCAGTCACTCTGTAAAAATTAACTTGCGAAATAGAACGCTCTAACGGAGCGAAAGTATTATTAAAGTAGGAACTCGATAATTGCGTTTTATGCGGCAAATTGAGTAGCTACCTTCTCCAGACTTAAGGAGCAACTAACTGATACGTATGATACACCCGCAATCCAGTTTCGGAATTTCCGAATCCAACCGATTCCCAGTAAAGCGAAGTGACAAACTTGCCCCGCATGTCGAAGTTGCCCCACTCTCCCCTATATGTTATGGGATATTTTCAAAAGTAAATAAGTTCATCCCTCATCTGTTATTAGACATTTGCAGTGGTTTGGTTTGTAGGTACATAGAGTACCTATTAAAATATATACTCTATACATAAATTAATAGCTTTTTGTTTAATACACGGCCATTCAAAAGTTATGGCCTATTAATTTTAAGTTAATGACTTCGTCACGTGATTTTTATAGTGCTAAAACAAAAACGTAAAATATTCAGTTTGGCAAATATTGTACTGCTCCACTTTGTAACTTCTTGATTATTTTAAGTATCAAGAAAAGTTAAGTACAAACGTTCTAGGTATCCTGGAAAATAGTAATCACTTTAAAATATAAAATGGTTTTTTAGATAATGACATAAAGTAGGTATTTTTATGTGGTACCTTTATAATACTGCATCATCATGTATGATTTATTATTTCAGTATTATATTATACAGGGTGTTCATTTTAAAACTTACTACTTACCACCCACTTTCCATATAAGATTTTCTAAGGGGAGGCTATGCGGGTTCCCCCAGCCCCCATAATTTCGCGAAAAACTCAACTCCTTTTAAATTACAGTTGATTTTTCAACTCCGAGATAATAAGTGGGAGTGAGTGGTGAGTTTTCATTCACTTCCACCATGCACTTTCCTACTCATCGTTTTCCATTTCACCCACTTTCCTCCCATTTCCCATTATTTTTTTCTACTTGCTCTCATATTTTCCCATTTGCCTTACTTTCTCCGGTTGCCCCATACTTTATTTCGCTCCAATTTTCATTTTCTTGTAGTAATATTGTCGTTCCACAAAGCGTTTCATACGATTCAATTCACACTGTGTCAAAACAAGTTTCACTTCAAGAATAATATGAAGGATGAAGGACAATGATATCATTTGAATGATTTGTTCAGAGTGAAGATAAATTATTTTAGGATCTGCCGCAGTCTTACTGTGTCCACAAAGGCACAAAGGATACCATCTCATAAAACCAGCCTATTTTTCCGATGCAAGAAACAACGACGCAGCTATGTTAACCAATGAGTTTCCACGAGATATTCGAAGGATAAGAGAGTGGTTCCAGGAACACGATTTGTTCATTGTTGGTAGAGGCGATGGAGATGCGATTCCTTTGCTCCAAGAACTGGGTATTGACCATCTTATACCTAGTAGTGTTAGACCTGGAGAAAGACAGCTTTCGATTATAAAGAAGCTAACCAAAATCGTATAATTACTAAAACTAGGTGGATTGTGGAGTCCGAAATGGTAATTTTGAGTCAATTTTTAAATTTTTTGCTAACGTTTAATCAATGAACCATGCTGTACATTTAAAAGACTTTTATCTTACCTGCGGGGCAATAATCAATAAATATCGGAAACCTATATATTAATGTAAGGAGCAAATGTGGAACTAGCAGAAGTATTACTAAAAAAAATCAAGTGAAGAAAATACTTTACAAATAAGAATACAAAATAAACTCTTACTGCACCGTCATGGCACTTTTGTTAATTTAGAAGACCACCACGTGCCCGCCTTAACCCAGAATATCTCAAGAACTGACGGTAGGCACCTACCAGCTGAAACTTGCACCATCTTATATTCAGGATGCAAGACAATATGAGCAGGGTAACAATTTCCAAATTGATACCACAATTTCAATAGATAATGTAATGTAAAGACTCAAGATATGGTCGCGCTTTAGAAATGCTGTTAAGTATCAAATATGGATTCAGTACGGCGATGAGGCTACTATAACTGGCCATTACTGCACATGCAAAGTTGGTACAAGGATAGTTTGTATCTGTGCACACATTACCAGCGTTATTCTAGGATATTCTAGGCATTTGGCGAACATCAGATTTCCATCCAACTCTCTCTTGGAAAAAGTTCGAGATGTTTCAAATCGATTTCACAATTAAAACAATATTTAGTATGTTCTTAACAGACCCTGAGATAGGGACTGTTTAGTGGAGTAATTTTTTTTGTCTGGCATTATGAGGGCTGGATGTGGCTAGTTAGCTGATGAGAATATATTAAGTGGTTTTATTTCGTGCTCCCTGTTCGAATCGTCCACAGAATTTTTCGCGAAAAACTCGATTTCGAACGGCGATTACTGTCTGGCGATTTTTTAGCGTTATTTTCACAACAAAACCTTTTATTCACTAGATTGCCAGACAGAAAGTAAGTGCGGAAGGTTCTATACTTTTCTCTTGCAAGTTGACACGTATCCTCACTTTTTTAGCCATTGAAAAGCATCTGTTATTTTTTATGGGTAAATTATATATCTATATATAAATCCTTTATTTAGTCAAGACTAATTTACAGTTATACAGTTACAGTTATCAATTGAAATTTTACTAAAGCTAATTTATAATTTAATTAAAAAACAATTTTCATATACTAATTTAAAATCTACAGTCAATAACACAATGATAAAAAATTATTAACAAAAACGTACACTGATACAATACAAGTTACACATACTACTTAAAAGTTAGCATCACTTAACATATAATTTTTGAGAACTCTTTTGAAGGAATTCACTGTTTTCACAGACTTAACATTATTTGGCAGATCATTATACCTACTCAAGCCCTTAAAATATAATGAGTTTTGCGACCTTTCCTGATCTACCCTTGGGATATAAAAATTTTCTCTGTGGCGCGTATGGTATTGATGCACTTCAGAAGCATACATAATTTTGCTTAACAAATATTGCGGAGCTTGACCAATTTTTATTTTATGAATGAATGTTAGGGTGTTATACAGAAGAAGCTCCCGCACTGGCAGCCATTGAAGTTCTTCTAACATATCCTTTATTGGTGTTAACCTTGGTTTTTTGAGTATCACCCTCATACTTCTGTTTTGCAATTTCTGCAACCTTGGAGAGTTCATTTT